GGACACTCACTGGCCATGAACAGGAGATAATTAATAATTAATGGCCCATGAACAGGAGATAATTAATAATTAATGGCCCATGAACAGAAGAGATCTCCTGGAGGGAGGATTGGTTGCGGAAGAGATAAAGAAAAAACTGCCCAAAGAACAGCAGAGAACTGTCCCAGCTCTACAGGTGGTGACAGAACACACACCCCCAGCCCAAGGCAACCTTCTACCTCACCAAGGATTTTTTCAGAACCACAGCTCCAAAACTCAGCTTTTTATCTTTAGCTGGAGGTTTTTGTGTGGCTCAGTACAACTCCAAAGGCATCTTCAGTTCCAGTCAAAGCCATTCCTTAGAAACAAACCTTACTTTTTTTGTGCTACAAAGCAATGGTGTAGGGGCTTACAAAGCAATGAAGAAAAGAGGAATTCAAACCTTTGGCTCATTGTTTTAATTGCAATCCTGTGATTATCTCAGCAGATGTAAGTGGGGTGCAGGAATTCCTCACATGAGGGGTGGAGGGAGGCAAGGAGCCGGCCCCAATGGACATAGCCCATCATCGAGAGCACCACAGGAGACTGTCTAGAGCAAAGCTCAAAGTGCAGCAGCAATTCTAAAAAAGCCTAAAAGATCCCCAAGATAACTTGAAGCAAGACCATGAGAAGCAATGTAGGTGAGTATTCTTAGGAAACTTTGGAATTTTTGGTTTTTTGGTAGTTTTACACTGCAGCGGCCAAGTTTTAAGACAAGGTATTTGAGGCAACATTAAAAAAAACAAACAAGATGAGGAATTTTCAGCATTTTATGGTGCTGGAGTAGAAAAGTAAAGTAAACAGTTCAGCAGTTCTTGCCTTGGTGGAAGGTAGACAGTGCACCCAGACATGGAATTTTGATAAGAAAACAAAGGAAAAAAAACTTTCTTGACCTGAATGTAAGAGATTATCTAGTCAGCTTGTGAGGCACAGCGTTTTCATGGGGAAAAACCAGCATTTTGTGCTGCTGTGATTCAGAGGGAGCATTAGTCATAATTGGGAATAATATATTTTGACATAACCAAACAATAGAACTCCAGTTCTCTGCTAGAAAATCTGCAGCACCATTCCTGCCCTGGATGGTGTTGGAGGAGCAAAGTGGAGCTGCCTGAGGTGGAGCCAGACCTCTCCAGCACAATATCAAATCAAATGCTCTTATTCTTCTAGATTTTCCCTAATCAAAATACAAGGTTACAGCATGTCAACAACCAGCAGATGGGGAAAAGGAACGTCCTAGGAAGCTCAGAGAACACGCTTGGAAACGGAGCTATAAATACCAGGCTAATTCCATAGCTTTAAGATTTCTCCAAAGCTTTTTTAAATCCCTCCAGAAAAGGCTGAAGAGATCCCTAATCTGAAGTGGCCCAGTTGAAGGAATGTGTGTGGTTTTATTTTTAAATAAAGTTACATCTACAGTAGTGTTGGGCATCTTAGTGAGTCACTGCACAATATTTGTTGGATCAAAATAAGGATTTGAAACACATTTTCATTCTTACCAGGACTTTTTTTCTTCAGAGGAAATGTGGAATTCTGTCTGATCCCCTCTGAACTGGTGTGTGCAGCATTCCCACAGAATCATTGATGGTCACAACTCATTTGGAATCTTTTTTTTGTTTTTTTGAGAACTGTCCCTGATTAGGGAGAGCTGACACAAGAGCTCCCAAAATTCCTTGGTGGAATTCTATGTAAATCTCTTCTTCCCTGTGAGGGTGGTGAGGCCCTGGCACAGGATTCCCAAAGAAGTTGTGGATTCTTCATCCCTGGAAGTGTCCAAGGCCAGGATGGAGGAACCTGGGAAAGTGTCCCCGCCTATGGGACACCTGGATGAGCTTTAAAGTCCCTCCAACCATCCTTGGATTCTTCCACTGGAATCTCTTTATTCCATAAAAATATCCCAGATTTTCTTGGTGTGTGTTTGCTCTTTGTGAGATCAAAGGCAAGGAGCTGTTTTGCAATATTGGACCTACCCTTATAATTTAAAAAAAATTCTAAAAAATAATACTAAAAATATTTAAATATTTATTCTTTATTTTTAAATAAATTTTGATGTTTATTTATTGAATTTTAAGAAATAAATGTCATTTAAATTAGTATTAGCCAGAGGAATGCAAAGCAGAGCAAGCATGCCAGATTTAGAAATCAGGGCTCTTAAAGAACAGCTGAAAGGGTTGGGTTTGTTTATTGTAGGAAAAAAGGGAACACTGTAGGATGGGCAGAAAAAAGAGATAAGAGGGTTTTATCAAAGCAGTGGTGGGGGTTGCTCTGTAGATTAAAAAAACCCCAAAAACTAAAAAGCAAGTTCAGGTTGCACCAAATGTAATTCAGAGAGATGGAAAGAGAAAACAGGCCAAGGGATTTTTGTTTTACCTCATATCTGACTGCAAATATGGATGGAAAAATGGGATATTTTACCTATCACTGTCAGGAAACTTTAGAAAACACACAAAGAAGGAGCTTCCAGAGAAAATTTCAGTAATTTTGACCTTCCCCACTGGGCATGGGCTGAGCATTTTGCTCTCCCCCTTCATTCACAACCTCGTTTCCATTCTGTCTCCTTAATTTTGGGGTTAAAATTGTCTCGTTTCCCTGCAAACCTTCTCCATCCATGGCAGCACCTTTCAGTTGCAAGCGTGCAGTAAAAATGAGCCAAAGGACCTTTGTTTTCTTAAATAAAATGCTTTGAAAAGCTGATATTTCAAACAGAGGGAAATTTGGGTTCAGCAGCCTTTGGAAGTTGGAGTCCAGGAGCTGCTGCAGAGGAACATGAGAAATAAATACCTGCAGCACAAAAATTAAATATGTTGTGGTGAAGGACTGCCTGAGTGGTTCTTTGCCCACATATCCCCCAATAATTCACTTTTTGGAGCAGAACGTCCTCAATATCTGCGTTAGGCAATTCCAGAGCTGTTTTTTGGGGCACTTTCAGAGAATAAAGAACTGTGTGAGTTGTGAGTTGGGATATATATTGTCCTTCAGCTGGGATGAAGCAGTGCATTTTCCAGGCTCTTATCTTCTTTGGAGCTTTGTTCTCAACTCTTGGATGTGCTGCATCCTTAAAGGCCACATGGTTTTAATTTCTGGGTGCTTTACTCTCTTTTTTTTTTTTTCCTTGCTTTGATGAGCTGGTGGAATTCTCTTATTCTTGACTGTGATTCACCCTTTTGTTTAGCTCCTTCTGAAGAGAATCAAACTTTTTCTGTCTGCTTTGGGGGTATTCCTCATGCAGGAAAATCAGATTTTTCTGAGCAAAGCCAGGGATACCTGGCAGGGCAGAGCTGAGCATCACCAGCAGGTACCATCTTGCTGAGCATTAAAAAGAAATTTGTCATTTTTGGATGGCAAATCCCCTCCAAGGTACGTTTGAGCAGCCCTGCTCTGAAGCTGATTTTATCCTAAAATCCTAAAATCAGCTGGTTCACTCCTCAGGCTCCCCTCCTCACACTTCATTGGCCAAGGCAATTGATCCTTATGAAGGTGATGGTGTGAGCACAGCTGATCGTGATTGTGATGTCAGAATTCATCCCAAAATGCACAGACACCACCTCTGAGGCACTTTGCTCCCTTTAGTGGGCTCAAAATGCCTTGGCTTGCTGAAAAGTAAATCTGAGTGAGGCGGTTGGGGCAGCCAGACACTCCTGAAGCACAAAATTTTATTTAAAAGTAGTGGGGGGGTTGGGTACAGGCAAGGATTTTGATAATTTCTGTTGCCAGAATTCAGATTAAATGGAATGAGGCTGATCTTGTAAAAAGAAATCATCCATTGGCAGTTTTTAAAATATTAGATTCATTTTTCCATGCTGTGATGTTTGATAGAAATGAAATGTGTACAAGAAGTGGAAATAGTTATTCCATCATTTATCCTAAGAAACCTTTCTAAGTGCTTATAAATATGAAGAAATAATTAAGAGTAATCTAATATTGGGATCTTAATGTCCTTAGTGGGGTGTGTTGCTCACTGTTGCTTATTTTTTGTTTTAACTGATTATTTTCCAGCTTGGAGTGAACAAGATGAACAGTCCCACCTTCAATCTAATGCTTAATGAGGAAAAAGGTCAGGATTTTTTCATTTTCATTTCAATCCCCTGTCCTGCTCTTAATTAATACATTAAAAATTGCTTTCTATGGGCCTTCCTGGTTTTAAATACCAAAACAAAGGTGATGTTTTGATGGCAGGGTGAGCAATAATATTTTTTTTAATCAAATGGGGAACTCAGGAAAGAGCTGACTTCGAGCAGTGTGAGTAGAAAAAGGGGCTGGAGAAGGAAAGGTCATGAATACAAATCTTCATTGAGATTGATTTTAAAATGATTAAACTATACCTAATGAATCTCTGCTACAGCAAGAAGGAAACATTTGGCATTTAAAAGAATTAAAATCACTTTTTAAAAAAAATATCCTTGAACTTCTGAATTTTATTTTTTTTTTTTTTAGAAAACAGAAAACTCTCAAATAAAATAGTAGGAAAATAGTAGGGCCAAATTCTCCAAATACTTCTACATTCAATTAGTAAGTAATTATCTGCTAATGGAGAGATTAATCAGATTTTCAGGGTCCAGAGGCAGTCCAGCCTCTCCAATATTATTCCATTTATGCCAGATAAGGCAGGAGGGTTTGCACTAAGGTGTCTGAAGAGCTGATTTTTATTGTTCCCATATATTTTTTAATACCTTAAGTGTATTTTCATCAGGGAAATTGCTGAGCAGAGCTACGTAATTCAATAAACAATTGAAAAAGGGGCACTTGGAGAAAAAATTCCAAGGGTCTAAAAATAGTACAGTCACATGATTACTACTTTGGCACAAAAGCATAATTTATGGGTTTAATTTGCAATCTTGCTACACTTCTGACATTCTCCTGCACAGGAACTCGGGCTGAATAATTCAAATTATTGAAATATTGCTCCATCCTCAACTTCAGGTGTCTGACACAAAAGAGGTCAGTATTGTTTACTGAAACCTCTGCATGGAAAATATGGGAGGCTGGGTTTTCTTTTTGCCATTTATTGCTTCATTTTTGGTCTCAAAATTAATGGAGATCTGGGGCTATTCAAAAATTGTTATTGCTGTGCTCAGAGCCTTTCCTCAGATTTCCAGGAATCTTGATTTTTTTTTTTTTTCCTGTTTTTGAGTTGTTTGGCTAAAATCTAATTGAATTTCCATGGTCTTTTTTTTTTTTTAAAGAGTTCTGTTCAAATGTATTTTTTTTCCTTTAAATTAAATCTTTATTTTCCCAAATTTCCATTTCCCTGGTAACCTCTTAAGTCAATAATGTACAACAAAGCCAAACACTTACAAATATTTATTTATATAACTTACAAAGTTATTTCCTCCTCACTTTCTTCAGCTGTGTATTAGATATTTTCTGAACATTCTCTATCAAAAATTCCTGAAATTCATATAGTCTTCATTATAAAAGCATTGCAGAACTATGCTGAATAATATCAGCTTTTTTGGAAGGCTGAAACACAAGAATTGAAAGAAAATCCCTCATTTCTTTATCCAAACTCCCCTAAAATAAAGTGGATGTGAAGTTTCTCCATTCTCATTAACATATTGCTCAGGAGTTTTCCATTGAGTGATATTCCCTAGGAAAGGTTTGCATGACAGTGGCATCATTCTTAGCTGATTTCTGGTGTACACCAAATATTAACTTTAATTTTGACAAAATCTGAGTGCTGCCGTCATGCTGACACAAAGCAAGTCTGGGTCACATGAAAAAATCCCATTTTTCATCAAAAGAAAAAATTCCATGTGGTGAAAAGCTGGAAGAGCATCCTGGCTATCTTTCCATGGGGTGGATTTAATAAATATGTCATTGAATGATAAATAAATATTAATAAATTAATAGTGAACAGCCAGGGATGAGTGTTAAAAACAAAATCCTTTTATTTCCTGCCCTTTTTTTTTTGGCTTTTTTTGTGCAAAGCCTTTCAGAGGTCTCTTGGGAGGATGGACTTTATCCATTCTTTCATTGGAAGTGACAGCCTCAGTTGCTCCCAACTTTGGGAATTGCACAGAAAAATGGGTTAAAAGAAGATTTTAGGGGAAAGATTTTAGGGATTGGTGCTGTCCATAAAGGAATCCTGCTCCTTCCCAGCTCAGCCCAGTTGTCCATTGCCTTGGATGGATTTACAGGCACAATTAAATCCCCAAAATTGAGGATATTCTGATTTTTCCTTGGTAGGAAGGAAATCAGATTTCTATCTCATTAATGATACCAGATTTATATCTCATTACTGATATCTGATTGTTGATATCAGATTTATATCTGACCACTTAACAGCACCCTGATCCAAAATGCTCCAAGGAAAGGGATTTATGTGACATGCTCCTAGAGATCAGCTAGATTCCATGCACATAAATCACTTTTTTTCTCTCCATGAAAATGATTTTCGTGTTGTTTTATTAGTGGAGGACTGAAGTGGCTGCTTTGGAGGCTTGGGAAAATAAATTTCCCATCCACATGCTGGGAGAACAGGCTGGGAGCTGGGGAACATCCAGGGGTCTGGAGAATTCCAAGGGGTCTTTTTGTTATTGATGGATATTTATGGCTTTTGGTATTTAATAATTCATCCAAATGATTGTCAGGGAATCATCCAGGCTGGAAAAGGACTCCAAGCCTGAGTCCAACCTGTGGCCAGTCCCACCTTGTCACCAGCCCAGAGCACTGAGTGCCACATCCAGGTGTTCCTTGGGCACCTCCAGGGAATTATTTTATTGAGTGGTTCCATTCCAATCCTAAAATACTCCACAGCATCAGGAGTGGCATAAAAAAAAAGAGAATACAAACCTTGTTATAGATAAAAAACTGCTTTAAAAGTGAGAAATAACTCAATGTCAGAGCTGCTTGGACTGGTGTGAGAGAGCTGGCACTGGGGCAATTTAAAATGTTCATTTTAATGAAGTCAGTGCAGAGCAATTCTCTGGTTGTGGCAAAACTTTCTGGATCCTCTGTATTTACAAGTGAAATGTGTTTTTGAGATATATCACAAATATATCACTTTTACCATGAGTAAACCATGAGTAAATCATGTGTAGAGCTGTGCATGGCCCTGGACACCACCCCAAGGAAAAGAATCCTGAAGGATTCAAGGTTTCCTTCCTACTTCAGGCACTTTTGTTTGTTGAATCACTGGCCTAAAAATAGGCCCTCATAAAGTATTCACCACTGATCTAATTAGTCAGGAGAATGCTGCTTTTCAAACTGGGAAAGCATTCCCAAAAAAATGATGCAACATTTGTATCTAATTAGATGATACAGGAGAATCCTGGCTAATTGCTTTGATAGACTTAAACAGATTAATAATGTGCAAGTGGTAACTAAATAAAAAACTCCTTTTCACTGAGTGCTTTGAAAGTGATGCTTTTTAAGAAGCTAAAATTCCTTATTAGTTCTGAAACCCCAGGACTGTGATTTGAGAGCATTTCTCATTTTGGAGGTTTTTCAGTGCTAGAAAGGAAAATCTCAAAAATGAGATTGTAATTTGTGTCTCTGAGCAGTGTTTGGTGTTTTTTCTAAATGCCTGCAAAGCTTTATATTCAAAATGTGCCCATTGCACAGGTGGGATTTGGGATTTGTGCCTCAGAGAGCCAGGCAGGGATTGTGGAGCCCCTTTGTGATCCATGCCATTGTTGGGCACTTCAGGTAAGAAAAAAGTAATGGAGCACCAAAAGTATTTGGAGGACAAGGGAAAGATTTAGATTCTATTTGAATAAGAAAAAAATTATCACTCAGAGGGTTGGAGCAACCTGGGATAGTGGAAACTGTCCCTGGGCATGGAACAAAATGGGTTTTAAGGTCTTTCCAACCTAAATCATTCCATGATTTGCAATATCAACCTGCCAAAATTTGTCTTAGTTGGCTCAACATCCACTTACTAATAAAATAAATATTATTCTTATCATATGTAACAGATTGGGATCCAGACAATTAATATCTCATTTAAATTTCTTCTTAATCCTATTGAGTCTTCTATTTTTCCCCACTTGACTCAAAAATTGTTAAAGTAAATATTAACAGCTGAGTGTGCAAAGAGGCTGCCTGAAACCCAACATTTCAAAAAAAAAGAGAGAGAGAGTCCCATTAAAAATTGAAACCACACTTGCAGCAGATGAAAATGGAGGAGAAATTTTCCTTGTGGGGAAGGGGATGAGGGGGCTGAAGGGGAAAGGAATTCTGTGTAGTTTTTTGCATAGCTCTCCAGTGAAACCTTCCGAAGGCTAGCCTAATGAAACTGGACTGCAAAACAAATCTAAACATGATGTGCTGGCACAGGGCAGGAAGCAGTCACTGGTTTGGATGTGGGAAGCTGTGGTGAGATAACAGGGCTTGTCTGGAGCTGCCAGGAGATGACTGAGGAGAGGGATTTATTCCATGGCTGATGCAAATCAGCCCTTTGGATTCCTTCCAGTGTCCAGGATCCTTTGGGTTTGGTCCAAAATCCAACTTCTTTGCATCCCAGTCCAAAATATTTCAGAGAATGCAGGGATGGGGTGAATGGTGCATCAGGAGTGGGGGGCTCTGCACTCACAGAATCCCAGGGCTGGAAAAGCCCTGAGGACCATGGAGTGCCAGCTGTGCCCAGTGCCCACCCAGAGCCCTGAGTGCCACCTCCAGAATTCCAGGGACACCTCCAAACCTCCCTGGGCAGCCCCTGCCAAGGCCTGAGCACGCTTGCCAGGAAGAATTTTTCCCCCAAAAGGCAAAAAATGGGATTTTCCGGGCTCCTTTTCTGTTGTTGGTGTGAGGGGTTTGGAGCTGTGGGGGAGCACAAAATGTTCTCTGCCAG